CACTTCTGAGTCCAGCTCCGAAAAGCTCTTTCCCGCACTACATTTGTTCTACAAACTGGCCACTTCTGAGTCCAACTCCGAGGTTCACAAAGTACTGCGCCTGCCACGAAATCTGCACTTCGAGGTTCACGAAGTGTTGTGCCTTCGAGCTTCACCAAGTGCTGTGCCTGCCACGAAATCTGCACATCGAGGTTCACAAAGTGGTGCGCCTGCCACCAAATCTGCACTTCGAGCTTCACCAAGTGCTGTGCCTGCCACGAAATCTGCACATCGAGGTTCTCAAAGTGGTGCGCCTGCCACCAAAATTGCGCATTGAGGTTCACAAAGTGCTGCGCCTGCCACGAGATCTGCACTTCAAGAAACAAATGCAAACTCTAACAATGGAGGGACGATTCGAGCATGATCCGAGCATGATGCGAGGCCATGCCGCAACCGTCGTTCCGCAGAGCTAGCCCAGCATTTCGTGCGTCCGCTATCTCTCGAACGCGCGTGGAGGTTCACAAATGCTGCGCCTGCCACGAAATCTGCACATTCATCGAGGTTCACAAAGTGCTGTGCCTGCATGCCACGAACTCTGCACATCGAGGTTCACAAAGGGCTGCGCCTGCCACGAATTCTGCACTTCAAGAAACAAGTGAAAACTCTAATCACAATTTGGAGGGACGTTTCGGCCATGATCCCAGCATGACGCGAGGTCATTCCGCAACCGTCGTTCCGCAGAGCTAGCCTTGCCAGGTTCGGAAGCACCCTTATTGAAAAATTTCGCGCGTCCGCTATCTCTCGAACATGCGTGGAGGTTCACAAAGTGCTGTGCCTGCCGCGACATCTGCACATCGAGGTTCACAAAGTGCTGTGCCTGCCACGAGATCTGCGCATCGAGGTTCACAAAGTGCTGTGCCTGCCACAAAATCTGCACATTGAGGTTCACAAAGTGCTGCGCCTTCCACGAAATCTTCACTTCAAGAAACAAGTGAAAACTCTATCACCATGGAGGGACGATTCGACCATGATCCGAGCATGGCGCGAGACCATTCCGCAACCGTCGTCCTGCAGAGCTAGCCCAGCATTTCGTGCGTCCGCTATCTCTCGAACACGCATTTTGTATGAGACTTCCTTCCAAAGTGCATGTTGAAGAGCTGACCAGAGCTACAGCGGACTGGAGTTAGAGCTAACTAAAGCTAGAGCTAAAGCTGAGTAGTAGGAGTAGTAGGAGTAGTAGTAGTCGTCGTAGTAGTAGTAGTCATGGTAGTAGTAGTAGTAGTAGTAGTAGTAGTCGTGGTAGTAGTAGTAGTCGTGGTAGTAGTAGTAGTAGTAGTAGTCGTAGTCGTAGTCGTAGTGGTAGTGGTAGTGGTAGTGGTAGTCGTAGTAGCAGTAGTAGTAGTATTATTAGTAGTAGTTGTAGTTGTAGTTGTAGTCGTGGTAGTAGTGTAGTAGTAGTAGTAGCAGGAGGAGGAGTAGTAGTAGTAGTAGTGGTAGTTAGAAGTGTAGTAGTTAGTAGTTAGTAGTTAGCAGTTAGAAGTTAGAAGTTAGTAGTTACTAGTTAGTAGGTAGTAGGTAGTAGGTAGTAGGTAGTAGGTAGTAGGTAGTAG